TAAACTCACACTGTTTTTTACAAAATGTCGGATAGGCCGAATAAGCCATACGCAACTAAACTATTTTAAATGAATAATTCTATTTGCTAATAACTAACCAAAGTTTAAATTTAAACTAAACGAACACTATTTAAATGAATAATTCTATTTGCGAATAACTAACCAAAGTTTAAATTTAAACTAAACTAACACTATTTAAATCTATTCAATATTAAATTAGAGTGCATTGTCTAAGGAATTAATCTAAAATGAAATAAATCTAGCAATGGTTGCTGAGGCTATAAAGCACCAGTCCAAATCCGGCCGAAGGATCAGAAAATGGTTGAGCGGCGGGCCTTAAGGTTGCCGAGTCACTATTCCCCGGTCGAGCCTTGACCCTATTACGCGAGATGTTACACTATGTGGACTGCATACGCAGATGATGCCTAAACAAGATGGCGGATTTGGCACGCGGTTCCCTGACAATGCACTCGCTCTTCCAAGAAAAACCTATTGATTGCCAAGGTTTATGAAGGAACCCTGCTTGATCACATTAGGAGAAATAAAATTGGGGCGGATGAACTAATAAAACACAAATATTCAAGCAGGGGACGAAAATAAGGAAGCGCACTTACCGGGGTGTTACTTCGATGCCGCTTGGACGCTGCGGTGCTACTTCTGGCGGATCTCCTAAGGCCCCAGGGATGCGGTCCTGGTCGGTGGTGCGATGGAAGAGAGCGGTGCGCGACTATATCTCACACGAGGTGAGGCGGTTACTCCTGGAGCGCGACTGCCCCAGGTTGGTGCGGGTTGAACTAGCGGTGCGCGTGGGCAAGAGCCCTCTAGGACGCGACTGCCCTAGGCGATGTGGTTCCAACTAGGTGCGCAAAGGGAAGAGCCCTCTAGGACGCGACTGTCCTAGGCGATGTGGTTCCAACTAGGTGCGCAAAGGGAAGAGCCCTCTAGGACGCGACCGTCCTAGGCGATGTGGTTCCAACTAGGTGCGCAAAGGGAAGAGAGCGCACGAGGGCCGTGTGCTAGCTTATATTACTTCGGCCCTCCTATCAATGCGTCTCGTAAGGGCACGCTTCTCATTGGTTGCGATAATCACGTGACACTCTAGAACTTTCTTCTTTCCCCTCTCACTCCACCACCCCGGTGTGTCGGAGGGACGATAAGTCATAGAAAGGACAAAAACGCTTGGCAAGCCTACCTTCGAATAAAATAAAAATACGAATGGTTTTCCGCGCAACCAAATTCTAATACTGATATTTATACATTTTTTTCTCTCTATTATATCTTTTATTATGGGTAAGGTCGTAAAAACTGTAATTTTTAAAAGTTTTGAGTGAGCTCATGTTTGATTGTGAATACCATACGCTAACAAAAAGTATGATAATATTTTTAATTAACAAAAGATTGATAATCATGCTTAGAATAATGTAGAAATAACCAGAATATTCAAGAGGCTTAAACATAAAAAATAAAAAATATTTTTGAATCCACAAAATAAACCTGCATACAAAATTTATTTGTCTCCTATCAACTTACAGGAGGAAAAAATGCAACAAATAAAATAATATAGGTAGCATTATGGTTTTAAAATCGTAGTTTACTTTGGAAGCAATAAAGATGACATGTGTTAATGTATAAATTACTGCAATAATACAATGATAGTGGAAAAAAATCTTATTCTAATTTGTGTCTCCAAAAGTTATCCAGTGTGTTAGTCCGATTCGATAAGGGATAGATTTCTTTTTTTTCAACATTAAACAACATTATTTACCTAATTTCGATGAGGCAACACCGTAGACTTACCGTCAAATGCCAGTTTTGACATATTTTTTTCATTTGTAGTCGTGACTGTAAACAAATGTAAATTACATAATTTAGATGACAAATTTCGGGCAGTGTATCTGTGAATTCTACGTGAAAAGTACAAAGATATCGTTTACTAGGTATCGTTCCTGATTCGAAATTTATAGTCAATTACCAGAGTATGTCAAGTTTTATTAAGTAAATCGCGCATGATTTATGACCGGTATTTATTGTTGAGTTTTGAATTTTTGAGTGTGTTTGTTCCAGTTTGTTATGTACGTATATTATGGTGTTTGTTATGTGTATTATGGTGTTTGTTATGTCACACACTGGAACGTTATAAAGGAGGCTATTCAATTAACTTAACCGACTACGGCGAAATGAAAAAGGTGTAATGTTATTCTGACGTATAATAAATCCACTCTTATGTAGGTACATAAGAGTGGATTTATTATTACTAGTGGTCTCTTAGTAGTCGAACTAGGACCGTTTTTAACACGTTGAACGCCACGCAAAAAATCGAGACTTTCCGTTCGAGCCATGGGGGTCACCGGTGAGCCTTACGTAGTTGTTCCATTCAGGCCACGGGTCTCATAAGCCACAGATTGCAGTTATTAAACAAAACACGTATGGAAGTGAGCCGCGTGGCCCCTGGACTGCTCCAGTCGACGTGGTTTTCAAATCCCATAGAAACTTGTAGTTGTATCAAAGGTAAAGTTCTAAATACGATCTTAGTGACGTGCCTTATTTTTTGTTTGTATAAATATCGCAAATGTAATGTTGGGGTTCCTAATGGGTGTTATTCAAGGAAACGACTACATTAGTTACGTACTATTTAATGAATGCGCTGGTAATAAACTCAAATAATGCATATAAGGTATAGTGCAAACTCAGCATACATACGGTTATAAAGTAGCGTACTTACTTACTAAACTAAAGGAGCATACATATTATTCTTACACTTCACCTCCCGAGGACATAAAAAAAAAGAATTAGGTACATTCTTTTTTTTACATAATTTTTACTAGATATTTACTTGAAGTATCATCTTTTAAAATAATAGTGTTTAATAGACATAAGTTACTTATTACAAATAAAATGGTACATACGTTTATCCTTATCATTATACATTGCAATGTTATCTAAAATTAAATCTTACATTCAAATCTATTGACATAAAGGCCTAGTCCTTTTCTTATGTACTAATTCAATTTTATTATTTTTAATTATTTTTACGTTACAACCTAAATCTTCCATAACTGTATAGGGACCTTTAAATATTGCATCTAATTTACTACGTGCTTCATTTTTTACTAAAACCAAATCATTTTTCTCATATTTTGCAGAATTGACAGACTTATCATATATTTCTTTCCGTTTATGCTTATTAATCAACAAATTTTTCTTTGCATCTTCATGAGCTAATTGTAACCTGTATTTTAATTGTAATGGATAATTATCTATATTATACAATGGTTCTACGGTATTACTTATGCTATCGGGTATTTGACAAAGTTTTCCAAAAACAAGTTCATATGGCGTGTAATTTGTTTCTGAATGGACTGTGTTGTTAAAACTGAAGCACCAAAATGGTAACCAATAGCTCCATGTATCCGTATGATTGTCACACTGGATCCTTAAAAATGCACCCAAAGTTTTGTGAGCATTTTCAAGAGCTCCAATCGACTGATGGTGATAGGCTGTAGAAGATTTTTCTATATTAAGTATTTTATAAACCTGTTCCATGGTTGCGGAAATAAATTCTGTTCCTCGATCTGTAGCTATTGTCGTCGGAATACCAAATCTTAATATGAACTGTCTAACAAATGCATCTGCAATGGACACTGTTTCTTTGTTTTGCAAAGGAATAGCTTGTACAAATTTTGTTAACTCGCATTGCATAGTCAATATATAACAATTACCATTTTCGTCTCTATCTAAGGGTCCCACTACATCTAAGTATATCTTTTCAAAAGCCGAGGAAGCTGTTGTGGTAATTTCCATCGGTTCTTTTATGTTACGAAAATATTTATGTTTCCGACATTTTGTACACTTTTTAACAAATTCCTGGACATCCTTGTCGATACTTGGCCAATAGTATCGACTTTTGATTGTATTTATCATTCTGCGCACTCCAGCATGACCGCTGGATGGCAGTAAATGAAAGTCATTCATAATAAGTGTCTTTTCGTTGTCGTCATCTATTCTTTTTACGCCTCGTAATATGCATATTCGCGGTCCGGACCAATTACTAAGTGTTGTTATTTCATCACAAACACTTTTGATAAATTCTATATTATCATTATTTTTAATTATACACACTTTATTGATACGTATCTTTTCACAAAAATTGCTTAATTTCTGCACAAATTCGGCTCGCGAGAAATGCGCCTTGAAATCAAGATTAATGTATAGTGTCTTTTTACCCTCTATAAATGTAAAACATTCAAATTCTTCAGTTATCAAGCCATTATCTCTAATTTGTTTTAATTTGTTGCCTTCAATCAAACACATTTCTACTGAATCACACGGTTTTCTTAATATATCCACAACTCTTGGTTGATCAAGCCAATTGTTAATGGATTTATTAAGATCCTTCTTTTCATCGTCATTCTTACTCTTACTTAACTCATTCAGCTTTTTCTTTTGCGCTCTGGTCATTACAGCCATTACTTGTTCATTCATACTTTTAAGTTCATCAGACGTTATACAAACTCTCGATAAAGCATCTGCCACAACATTGTCTCTTCCTTTCACATAGACTATTTTAAACTTATATTCTTCTAAAGTTAATCGAAATTTAAGTAATCTACTTGACGGATCTTTCATACCAAAAAGATATATTAATGGTTTGTGATCTGTCATTATGGTGAATTTGTTTCCATACAAGTATGGTCTGAAATACTTAACGGACCACACTATTGCCAAAAGTTCTTTTTGAATAGTTGGATAGTTTCTTTCTGCTTTATTCAAGGGTCTACTAGCAAATGCAACTGGTCTGAGATCTTTACTACATAATACAGAACCAATAGCAGTACCCGAGGCGTCTGTTTGTAAAATAAATTCATGATTTTCGGAAAAATCGGGATACTGTAAAATTGGTGATGATATTAAAGCATTTCTTAAAAATTCAAAAGCGTTTTGACATTCATCAGACCAAATAAATGGTTCATTTTTCCTACTTAACTTATTCAAAGGTATTGCTAGATATCCGAAAAATTTCTTATAAATTTACGATAATAGTTGCAGAATGCTACAAACCGTTTTACTTCATCTACATTTTTGGGAGTAGGATAATTTCGTAATACTTTTGTTTTTTCTGGATCTGGTAAAACACCTTTTTCTGTAACCAAATGTCCTAAATAAAGAATTTCTTTCTTTAAAAATTCACATTTCTGAGGATTTAGTTTTAAATTTACTTTTCTCAATCTCTCCATGACAGTTATTAAATTTTTGTTATGGGAAGACAGATTTCTTCCAAATACAATGAAATCGTCCTGATATACTAAACATTTATCGTAAGTTAAACCAGACATCGCTACAGACATCATACGACTAAAGGCATTAGGGCTGATCTTTAAGCCCATTGGTAAACGCTTCATGCAATATTTACCAGTATTTGTAGTGAAAGCTGTTAATTTACGACTACTAGGCTCTAAACTTACCTGATAGTAACCTTGGTGAAGGTCAAGATGAGTAAAATAAATGGCTCCAGTAAGCGTATCTAAAATTTCATTAATATTTGGTAGAGGAAATTTGTCGTCACAAATAACCTCGTTCAATTTTCTGTAATCTACAACCAAACGCCATTTTTTCTCATTACCTTTGCTACTTTTCTTAGGTACTAATAATATTGGACTGGACCATTCACTATTTGACTCTTCGATTATATCATTTTCTAACATATTCTCAACTTGCTTAGTTATTTCTGGTTTTAGTGTCTATGGTAACCTATAAGGCTTGACGTAAACTGGAGTAGAGTTTTGTTTTAAAACAATAGATTGCTCATAAATATTAGTTGTCGTTAACTTATCTCCTTCTAAATGAAAAATGTCAGAATATTTTGCACAAATTGCTTCAATTGATTGTTTCTCTTCTCCGTCTAAATAATTTAAATTTAATTCAGATAGCAAAGTTTTAACCCTGGTAACGTCAATATTGGTCTTATTAAATTGACAAATATTATAATTATACAAACTTTTCAAATCTGGTGTGAAAGATGGCAAGTTTACTTCCTTGTCACTAACATTAAGTATTTTAACTGGAATTCTACTATTACTAACTGTAGTTATTGCGTTTGCTATAAAGACATCCTTCGTTAACTCTTTACTGCATACTACTACTTCTCCAGTTACATCCTCATTCACAATAATAAAATGGATTGATTCCGAGCGTGCTGGAATAATCATAGAATTTTTCATCCTATCATGTTCATCAACAAAATGTAGATAATGTTGTTTATTACTGTTAAAAAGTGTTAAATTATTTGAACCTAAATCAATATTCGCACTAAATTTTTCTAAAAAGTCTAAGCCTATGATTCCGTCTGCTTTTAGTGGTAGCGAATCAAAAACAAGAAAATTATGCTGAAACGTGGCATTTTCGTATTTTAATATTAAATTTACAGAACCTTGAGATCGTCGCTGACCACCTATTCCATTTATTATAGTATTATCTCTATTAACAATGATATCTTTTGGCAGTACTTCATTTTTAATAATTGACAATGTTGCACCCGTATCAATAAGCCAATAGTATTTAATGTTTTTAATATAAAAAGTAACATATTTCGCATCACCTTGTAATGATAATATAAAATGCTTAGGATCGAAAAAACTGATTCGATGTACCTGCATTGTCGTCTTTATCGCATTGATGAGTGTCAGCTACTTTTTCTACTGGAAATGAGTTTTGACCTCGTCCACGGTTCCTAACATACCTAGAGCCTCTATTTCCTCGTTGATTATTATATGAAGGACGATAATTTGCTCTAGTTTTTCCGCTAGAACCTTGTCCTTGATTGTAGTGGTTATTAAATTTATGCCCACGATGGTAATTGTTACCATATTGACTACGGTAAATTCCTCTTTGACCTTGAGAACGTCTAATATTGTGTGCCGAGTGGCGTCCATTTTTAGATGCATACAAAATGTTACCTGGTGGTTGGAAAGACGTGCACTCCTCGTCTTTTGCTGCTTGTATGGCATCTTTCAAGCTGCTGAAGCCGCGTGCTGAGATGATGGTGCTCATTTTTGCGCTACGCAGGCCATCTGAAAAACGTTTTATGGCAAAACTTTCATTGATTGGTTTTAAAATCGAGAATACTTCCTCTTTTCCATCTGCCTGAGTAATTGTCAGCTCTGTAAATAACTTTTCTACCTCCGTACCATAATCCTCAATGGATCTCGAGCCTTGTTGAATATTCTGAAGCTTCGTCTGTATAGCCATAAATGATTTTTTGGGTAAAAGATATTTCCTCATATCATCAATTAATTCTTGGATAGTTTTGTATGAGCTTGCAATTCGTAATTTTGCATTTTCATTCAACCGACTTTTCAAAACAAAAATAATTAATAATACTTTACCTGAGTTGTCCAGCATGTCAGCATACATCTCCACTGAGTCTATTAGGCGCTTAGTGGTGGCCTCTACACCGTCCATTACTGGAATCAAACTACACGCCACCTTTATGTCAAAATCCATTTTGCCTAAATCTACTGTAACGGGAAAAGTACACAATTTTTCTATTTCCTCGTACTTTTGTTTTATTTTCTGATAAAGATCTATTGTCGATTTCAAATTAATATCTTTACTTTTTTCAATAAGTAAATATATTTTACAACAGTTTTCATATGCGCTTTTTGCTTGATCTAACTTAGTTGAAATAACATTACCCTTATATCTAGTTTGTCCTTTTTTTACTAAATAATTACGTATTTCTACTAAACAGACATAATTTTGTTCCAAAATATCAATCATAATATTCTTAATCTAATAATAGAATTGCACAAATGTAACACATTCTACATAAATGCGAAGAAAAAAGTCCGACGTTGCCTTTTGTTTCCGTTTGGTGTCTTATTACTGAATGTCCGCGCGCGGTTTTAGCACCTTTAGAATTATAGCGTTATGAAATATGATTCCGCATAACTGGCTCACTCACTGCTATTTATTATTTTTACGAAAAAATTAACAACCCACAACACTTATTTTCACTTTCACTATGCATTCACTTCTAATTACTGATTCTGGTTACCTTCTGTGCGCCCTCTGATGGATGATCTGATTCTCTGCATGGTACTCATCCCAATTTCCTGCTGGATCCATGTGCGGTGACAGCTCCTGTACATCCGCAGGCCCACATAAACTGCTACGAGTCCAATAATGGCCAGAACAATATAGGTCACAATGCTAAGCCGCTCCACGTGGCCTCCGATTTCTTTCAACGTGGCGTCATTGTTGCCTCCAGCCGCGTTTTGGCTGAGGAAAACCTCTTCTTTTTCCACAGTTGACCGACACATTATAATATATTATTAAGTAGTTATGTTAACTATACTAAAACTAACAATCCCCTTGGCAGAGTCCCCTGGCAGGGTCGCCATGTAATGTTGGGGTTCCTAATGGGTGTTATTCAAGGAAACGACTACATTAGTTACGTACTATTTAATGAATGCGCTGGTAATAAACTAAAATAATGCATATAAGGTATAGTGCAAACTCAGCATACATACGGTTATAAAGTAGCGTACTTACTTACTAAACTAAAGGAGCATACATATTATTCTTACACTTCACAAATAAAACCAATAGAAAATAATTATGTGTTTATTACATTAAAAATAACTAAAAATTATTAAATCATCGGTTAATTTAACTTAACATGGTACTTTTTTTTACAACAAAATCAACTTAATATAATTAAATTCTTCAAAAACAGAACATAATAATGACGCTTCTTCTGCGATAAAAACTAAACTATATAAATCATCATTAAATGTAACTTATAATGACACCTGTTTTTAGAATCAAATTAAAAATCAACTATTATAAAAACAACATTATGAATGGATTCTGTTGAAACAAGGTAAGCAAGGAGAAGGTTGGTCTAGACATTTTTGGCAATATGTTAATACCTTTAGTAGTAGTTTTTGATTTAGCTTGCTTGTTACCCATGATTGGTATGTTGTCTGCGTAACCTTAGCAACATGTCCTCCGGACGGACTTGTCAAGCCCTCTTTCTTTTCCAGAGTATGTTTCTTTCTTCTCGGTCTTTCACTATATCATCACCATCACCTTCTTATTTGACCAATTGAATTCCACGGTATTTACTTTCTTCTCAGATCTATATTTCTGGCTATAAGCGTTCTTCCTCGATGGCAACTCCATTTAAAATGTTCACGAAACAAACAAAACTGAGCAAAAAAAACTTACACGAAACTCGAACGTGGAAAAAAACAAGTTTTTCTCAGGTACTAAAGCTTCAGCATTAATATAATGCAAAGCAAAACAGCTACATGCCATAATGCAAAAGGGAGGTAAAACAATTAATGCATCAGCAACATTTTGGTCGGAGTGTATTCGAACGATTACGAACGATAGACTCGCTAGTGTTTTTTATCACACTGTGCTTGGCAGCACTTATATCAAACTTTCCGCCAGATTCCACTAGATATTTTTTAGCGCTTAGATATTTAAAAAAAGTGCTATAGACCCTAGAACTGCACTAGATCCAGCGCCAAATGCGCTAAAACGGCAACACTGAGATGCGCGGTGAGCCGCCGCGTGACCCCGTGGCCCCCGTATGAATTCTGTAACCTTCCTGAGGGGGCAGGTGAGTTTGTGTAGCATAGATTTTGCCTATTTTTGTTTTCTACGCATATCATTGCATTTACCAAACTTTGGTATAAAAATCTGAAGTTGTGAAAAATTACGGATTACGTGATTTTAAGTTGGCCCCAATGGAAAGTCATGATAGGCCCACCGGTGGGCCGCGCGGTGTTCAACGTGTTAATTAAGAGGTCGTCGCCTTTCGTCAACTTTTCCACTCGCACAGGATCATATTATAAAAAAAACGTTTAAATGATGAGAAGCATTTTTTTTATGTGGCTTTGTTACATTGTACATAAGCACAAAAAGTTTTTTTTTTAATTTTTACTTATTAAATTAATACTATATTGTAATAGCCTATTGATTACATTAAAAAAACGCTTCTTCTTAAATATGGCTCTGTACGGATGCGAATAGTGTCAAATGGGATAGCCCTTATAATAAAAAAAAACGTAAAACAAAATTCCGTGATAAATGGTAATAATTACAGTATCTGTTCTGTACTTATTGTAAATTGTAAACACATAATTATTGTTAAATTCGTTATGAATATTTTGTGAATAATACCTACTTTGATTAGTACCTACTGTTTTTTTAAGCTCATTATTTTGTTAAAGGTTTTAATTCTACTGTATTGTGTTATTTTGGTGATTAGTTTCGCAGACATGCAAGCTATGCATAGTCTAAGATTCGTTTTTGATTATTTAATCTTAATTTCATGAAAATAAGTAATTGATAATATTTTAAAATGGATTTTACTTGAATCTATTTCCAAGTGAACATTAACCTTTATATTATTCCAGTATGTTATTGTGTTACAGTGTGTTATATCTTCCAGTGCGTTATTTACACTTTTACGACGACCTTACCCTTATATCTTTTCTTCTATCTCTGTTATATCTTTGGGTAATGTATTTATTACATATATAGTTTAACTGCCATGAAATATAGTCCAGAACATACATAAAGTGGTTTTAGGCAATATACATTTTTTTCTCTTCCTAAGTTGTATATTATGTCCATTTATATTATTATCACCAGCTTTTTGAAATATATCTACATATTTTCTTACTAGTTTAGATGATTCCAACATGTATAAAGATGTAACTGTTAATAATCTTGTGTTGTATGAAATATGGTCTACAGATTTCCCTAAAGTCAATGTTTACTAGAACTCTTATAAATTTTTTTGAGCGATAATATATATAAATAATTTTTGGTCTATGCAGTTTCCCCCCAAAGGTATACGGTTAACGCTTGCTATGCAAAGGGCATTAATCTTAAATGTTGCTAACGCTGGGACACTCAAGAGGTGGGTTCTACTAACAACAAAGAGCCCTTTTCCTCTACAACTCATTCACACAACATATATACGATATAGCTATAAATAACATATTATTTGGCAAAGGTTTTGTGTAAGGTGAAGGCAACCAAATATTGCATTTCAGGAACCATTCTCGAGCTTGGGTTGCTCAAATTCAATCAGGAATCTAGCTATATCATATCATTATCTTGTTTGTGTTTTTTTCATGCTTGAAAATGTTGGGCACAATTTATGTCTATCGAACTTAGTGTTTAATTTGTATTTCATCAATGCTATTTTTATACCTATGGCTATCTCATGAAATAAATTATTTACAGATGTCATTCATGAGTGAAGTTTGTGAAGTTTGCTGGGACAAAGCTCAAGATTTGAGCTTACATGTACCAGAAGGACCAGAAGAAAGACCCCAGCATATCATCATCGTGTTGTCCAATATAAGAATTTCTTAGTTGATTTTTATAAAGAATTCATTAATTATAAGTACAATAAAATAAATGAACTTAAAAAACAAAATATTTTTTATTTACCTACACTCAAAATTCCATCAGAACTTCATCATTATCAAATTGTTGCAGTCCGCTGCTGAATATAGGTATCTCCTAATTCACAATGCTGAGTAGATACCGATCCTCATCTCAATCTACCTACCTAATAGTAGAACCACGCTGTAGCTATAATATAGTTGGAGCACGAATGAGTCTGCTTGACCGGGGAAGAACCATGCTCTCACAAAATACTCGTACCAGTGTAAAATAGAGATCCGGAGACCCTTTTTTACTCGAAACGAAGTATTCGCTCCTAGTCCTCAGAGCTGACAACGCATCTGAATTTTGATTCTAAATCGAGGATAAACGTCGATCACTCTGTGATGTGGATGTCTATGGCTCTTCGATTGTCACCCTTATTCTATAAAAATAATGGTTAGTAAAGCACGATATAGATCGAAGAACCGATAACCGATGGGGAAGAAAGGTTCTCGAGTGGCAGCTTCGTACCGGTAGGCGTAGTGTAGGGCGACCCCCACTAGATGGAGTGACGACCTGGTAAGATGTGCAGGAAGTCGATGGATGCAGGTGGCTCAGGACCATGCTTTGTGGCATTACTTGGGGGAGGCCTATGTTCAGCAGTGGATTTGTGAAGGGCTGTAATGATGATGATGAAAGCACTACAGAGTAGCGAAAAGCAATATAGAACATTTACTTTATCACAAAAACAATGTTTATTTGCCTATATGTAACGATCTACATAGGTACACTAGGAGATATTTTGGCGGTCGACGGATTGTCGCTCCTGTTTTGTTGCTTAAATAATGGTTTGAAGTAGATTTTGATTCGTAAAAGTAATGCGATCTTGTGAATTGTCTGCGCGTGTGAACTATTAGAGAAAACGACGAAACAAGTGGTTTGATGTTAATATAATCTCCCAAAAACTGTGACGCATCAGCATATTGTGATGAAAAAAATACATAAAAACGAAGATTACGAAAGAAATGATAGGCTCAGAAGGGCTAGAACCCAAAGCCGTAAAGCCAGTTAACTAAAAAAAAATTGTGACACTAGTTCATAATATCCGTAGACAGAGAAACCTATAGACTAATGACACAAACTAACTAGAACTAATGATTAGCGTGGCCTCGAGTGAGAAAGGACGATAACGTAGTTTTAGGTTATACAATAATCTTTACGACTTTTAAACATAGGTATTTAGATAAAAAATTTAATTGTTCTAAGAACTGAACTTAACAAGGTTCACCAATCTCAAAAACACAAAGCTCACAAAACACTTTTTTCTCAATTAAACCAACTTGTAAACTTAGATCCAAGTTGTTTAGCAAAGTATAGTTTGCTAAACAAATAACCGGCACGGAGAAAGGGACAAACAATCACACCGCTCTGTCTCATTTCTATGCAAAACGTATGCATAAATCTATCTTTTTCGTGTGCGAATGCGAAAGAAGGCGTCAATTTGTCTATAGGTTTCTCTGTCTACGATAATATTATATATTACCTATGGCCTATGTAGATTATCTTAAAAATTAAAACTGGTTATAACTTTTATCACCCAAGTTCTAAAAATCTAAGAATTTAAAAAGGGTTTGTCTATCCTACTATCTACCTATTAAAACCAAAAATATCCCAAAACTTTATTTTTTAGCGGGAAATTTATTAGCGGTACGAAACTCCCATACAAGCCTGCCATTCCCCAATATGACTTCTACATTTATGATCACTAAATTTTGACGATAAATTATGCGAAAATCTTTCAAACTTTTATGAAGTGTAATTGCGGTATAATCCTAGTGGATTTTCACGACTTGATACGGGGACAAACACCGTGCCTTCAGACACAGCAGAGGTTACATCTTCCTGA